TTTAGGCGGTGTTTACGGCTGCGGCCTACGCCCTCTCTCTGTGCGGCCATCTTGACTTGTCTTGTCGCCGTTTAAACGCAGTTGAGAGGGTTTGAATGGGGTAGATGGCGGCGCGCCTACTTCACTATACCTAACCACAGTCACCGTCAATGCTCTTGAGCAAATGGTGGACATCTTCGCTTGCGATGGTCGAACTAACACAGGCATTCACAAGAAGCCTAGAACATTTTTCGCACGGTTCATGTCCTACTTATGACTCATTCGATTGCATGCTTCAGTGAACTTCAGTAAACGGTGTGTTTGAACTCGCTAACAACACTGCCTGCTGTGAAAAATTGCAATCTGCCAAGCACTGGTCAACTAACTGGTCGTCACCGCTAAAATCTAGGAACAAGTTTTTGACTGTAACACAGGTTTTATAAGTCACTCGCTAACTACGGCCTGGCATACATCTATATCCGGCCGAGAAGAACGTAGTCACAAGAGCGAATCGATTTCTCTACACCCGCATTTGACTTTCGCATGTTCTGCTGGTAGTTTATTCATCAATTCCATTCGGGTGAAAAAAGTTTCGGCTCAGGATTGCAAAGTTCCCAGGGTTCTTCAGCATACCCTTAGGACAGACCTCTAGACCACTAATATGGATTTAAACAACTGGTTTTCCGGCAACACAGGCTGAAATTCTTGACTGGTTATTTCGTGTTCGTCGAACGGATTCATAGAACGTCTCAGCAGCGTATTTTCGAGCATATCATTTACGATGTCCTCTTTTGCCGCAAAGACTGCGATTGTCTAAAGGCCAAAGTGTTCAGGGAAGCGAAAAAAATACGGCGCAAGTGTTAAACATAAACAGCAACCACCTAATCAGCCATAAACGCAGTTGCATAGGGAGGCTTTATCGGCGTTCTGAGAACCAGAGGACAGTTTCCCGAAATACGATACGGTTGTTCAGAGAAAACGGCTACCGCGCATTTTCATCAGCCCGTGTCTATGCAAACAATACAGAAGAATATAGCGCACTGACTCTAAATTTTAGCAAGAGCTTCTGTACTTCATGAACGTTTTGGGGGACGTCAGCCCTGTCCTCGTACAAGTTAGAGCCAGACGCAGACGCAGACCGGAGGCAACCATTAGGCGTCAACCAAAAGACCCACTGTGATGCCAGGAAAATGCTGGAGTCGGTTACTGAATCTGGTGCGGTTGCCAGCCAAACCACTACTTTTGAGAAACCGGAGGACTGCTCTGGACGAACATAGCCGAACACATGGTAGTAGTGAGGCGAAGTGACGAAGACTCTCAAGTTGTATCCCATTCATAGACAGGCGACGACACGTTCGAGGTGGACGAGGCCGAAATTCTCGCAATAGATGGCAATCCTGTTGGCCGTGAGTTGCTTACATCATACTTCACCTGCCCCCTCAGTCTAATAACAAGTACAATGACCTGTCCACCCCATATTTGATGCTGAGACTTAGTTTGGTCAAAGTTATTAGTCACTCGGGGAGCGCGCTGGAAAACACCTTCTTTCATTGCCACTGTCTGTGAGTCCGATGACCGATCAATTATCACGCCAACATCCAACACGTCTGATAAAATTTTAGAGATAAAAGGCGCAAATATCGGCAATTGAGCACTTACCGCACCAGGTGACAGGCATTTCTGATTAAATGGGGATGGGTTACTTGCCATAGATTTGCAGCAGCGTAGCGAATACATCCTATGTAAACTGCAACTCATTTTATATGTGGGAATTCCCCGCAGCCGATGCTGTCTCTGGCGGTGGGGTCAATCACGCATCCGAAACGTGAGCTAAAAAATATTCATGTTTCAGCCATCGCGTCCATTTCGTCTGAAAGAGTTCTGTTCATTGTTATTTTTGTTTCGAGGTAGCTGTGTCTTGGTGTTTCGATTAATTAATAGTTGGTCAAATGTTTGTCGCACAAGATGTCCTACAACTCTAAAACTTTCATGAAGAACGGAAGGTGTCGGCGACTATTTCCCCCGATGTTTTTTATCTCAAACTGGTTCTGATTGAGAAACATAAATATCTTTCCGTTGAGAGTCAAGTCAAGTGAGGTTTTAGGGATATTAATTACTGCAAGATGACATCCAAAGAAGCTGAAGTCATCTAAAAATTGGTAGTAAAAACAGGAAATACGATTGGCAAGTCTCTTCTTTTTGTTTGTGAACAGGAGTCTAATTGGAGCATTCTCGACCGCCTCCAAGAACGGCGCAAGACATGCAGCCGACATACATTCATATGAAATCTTATTTACTTCATACAACGCCAGCGGAGGCCCACTCCCCCTTTGATTTCCTTTTAGGCCATCTTGAAAAAGATCATGGCCCACATTTTGTGCAGAATTCCAAAATTTGCAAAAAATTGATGATAAGTTGCTAATCGACATCAAGTAGGTTTTTAATACTGATTGCCGTGCAGCCTAATGTCAAGTTATTTCGGTCACGGTAGGATGCCGGCTTTTTAGCGAGCTTCTTTTTGACATCTCACAAAATGGATGTTCTGTACAAAAAGTCTACTTAAATAGTAGGCATTTAACACATTGGTTTTGACTGCCGTTATAAATTCAAATATATGCTATAGAAGAAGTTCACAAACTAATTCTTTCTTGTACTCCTTTGGTAGAAACATACGCCTTCTTCAAATTTTTTTACTTAAAGGAAGGGTATATGTTCGGTTTAAAAAATTATGATCTAGACTTTTAACGACTGTGAAATATTTTATTCGTAACAAACCGTATCCATCAATTTATTAATGTTGCCTATAGTGCATACAGTGTGATCAACATCGATTACAAAATTATATCTGAACTATATGGCCGCTTCCTCACACCGTGGAAAAAAAGGTACTTGTCCCTATACAGGATGTGCACTGCATGCAGTTTTGAAACCTTGAATCCAGTTGTAACGGTCAGTAGGTTTGATAATTATCCGGCAATTTATAAACTTTTCTAAAACGAAAATATACCCTTCCTTCCAGTATAACATTTTAGTGTGTAATTGGCTACCAAACAAGTACAGGAAAGAATAATATTGTTAGTGTTTTTTATAAGATACATTTGAAATTACAAGTGCAGCCAAAGTTAGGGAGTTAAAAGCAGACTACTTAAGTAGCCGCTTTTTGCAGAACATACTTTTTGTAAGTGGTCAAAAAGAAGCTCCTGTCGTGACTGAAATGACTTGAGATAAGGTTGCACAATAATAAGTATCACAATCCTACTTGATGCCCGTTAGCAAGTGCTTATCAATCCTTTGCAAATTTCGGAATTTTTCACGAAATATGCACCGTACTATACGTGAAGCAGGTTACAATCACAGAGCTCCAGAGTAATGTCAGGGCCTGAGGGCAAACTACACTTGAACGCTAAGCTTCTGCTGCAGACAAAACCACTCGGGCTCTCTAAACGACTATTTTATTTTGTTCTGAAAAAAAGGGATGAACAGAAGGCATAATTTTACGCCAGAGCACAGTCTGAAAGTGTAAGGCTGTTGCAGGATCACCACCTACTTCATCAGACAGCTGTGGGCGTTTGATAAAAAAGCACTATCATCTTATTCTGTGTACTTTCGTACTTTTCTTCAACCGATGTACGTCTTGACTCCTCTACCAGTTGCCAACTCTATGCTTTTTTGGCTTGCAGCCAATACGGTCCCCTCACCTGATGCATTCACACAAACACAGACTCGCGGTGTACACATAATTGGCGACCATGCATACCGCTTAACCTCTCAGATTAGTCCAGAATACGTAGCTCCTTCAAGATATAACATAGCTAAGTCACCATGTGACCATTTGCCTCGTGAAAAGTCCTTGAAAAATATCTGTACACATTCAGTTTAGCATTTTATGCTAATTTTGCGGGTCAGCTCTTGTCGATTCAGTAATCCGAGCAAAATACAGATTCGTTATAAGGCGTTTATGATGTGGTAGGTGTGTCCTTTTTGCGTCGGGGGGAGGGAGGTCACACGACCATGTTCACTGGTAATTTAAAAACCGAAAATAACAGCATGAATGTTGCAGACAGGAATCTACACAGCTTGAGCTCCCGCCAAATCGAGCTCTTGAGACCTTTGAAAAGATGTTGGTACAGTGTCTCATCTGTCAGCAGCCTGGTGATCTCCATAATCGTACTGGCTAGAACCATACGCCACACGCGACGGCTAATCGAGACAAGCGACACCCTACTAAGTCAGAGATAGTGCCCTCTCTGCTAAATTCTTGCGTATTCAGGCTGCCGTGCCTTCGGCTTCCTGTGATTGAGCTCGATTTGATTTCTGCTTTAACTTCTGCTTTTTTGTACATGAATGGGTGATGGGAGGGGA